GGCCGCAGCCGCGCGCCCGGCCCGAGCGGGCCTCGCTGTGGAGCGATGGCCCTGAATGAGAGTGCCTTAATTCACGCTGCCGGCTTTGGTGGCATCTGCCCAAAAAAAAAAAAAATCGCAGCAGTAATTTTACACTTCGAGATGACTGATGAATACGTTGAAGAGTGTGAAGAGGAGTACTTACCCATTCAGAAAACTCTCGAGAAACACCCCCAGTTAACAGTGATTCACCACAGACAACTACTACAAGCCATTTCAGTTGAAAAGTTAATCCATTTAATGCACCCTTTTCTACCACGTAGTGCTTTTTAATTCAGACTGCCACATTTAATGAAGCACTTTAGCCAACTTAAATATATTACATCCACGCATTATTTACAACCAGAGAAGTAACTTCAAAGAATTGAAAGTAGACCTTTAATTTTTCATTCTAAAGTTAGAGAAACTAACATTATTTTTACTTCTATTCTTTTTGATTCAAATTCTGTATTTAGATTCTATTATTTCGCCTGGACTTGATTGCCAAGTTACCATCAATTCATTTGCCTTCTTTCAGCAGTGATGAGCTATTAATTCTCTACAGAAAACTGGAAGTCTTTATAGTATTCCAACAGTTAATGAAAACTAATAGAAACCATAGATTTCTGCAGCCAATCATTTCAGAGATCCTCAGTGCAAGAAATGTGGGTCTGCTGATTTGAAAATAGATCTTACTTTCCATTTACCATCAGACTGGAAGATAGTTCAGCCCTATTTAATACCTATCCCTCATACTGCTTTTTCAAAAGACAGAGCAGAAATACTCAATAGTTCTGTCTTTCAGCTGATATTCTCATCTTCCTTCCAGATTTTAACTTTCACCGATCACCTTCATTATCGAGAACACTTAAAAGATAACTTCTGCAAGTAAGCAGGTACACTAGAAATATGGCTTTTGTGGACATCTGCTTACATCTGTAGGGCTTAGTTTTGTATGATCTTCAATGCAACATAAACTTAAAAGATCTTAAAACATCTCTTATTGTCACACATGCCTAATACGT